CTCCGTACGACGCTTACCTTGTCGATGTCAGGCGTAATGGGGGATTGCGTCTGTTTCCCAGCGGAGAGGTTCACCTCAAGTGCGAAGCGCGAAGTTGGAGAGTTAATCGAGATACTAACTGTACTTCTTGTAGAGATTGAAAACTATGGGAAATTCGCGAAATATGCCCATCCTTCGCCACCCTCGCTGAACGAACACTCGCGATCGATAATACAACACGCGGATGGGAGAGCCGCTGGGGTGCCGAAAGTATGAGTGACGTCTCGCCCCGATGCTGCTCGTTCGGCTACTGAGCCGGCTTCGACCGTGCCAGCTAACAACTACCAGCCATTTTTCCACCTCTACCGTCCACCCAGCTCCACGACCACGACCGTCTATGTGGATTAAAACGGCGTGCCTTCGGACCAGTCGAAGCGGCAATTTCCATCGGGGCCGACGTTGGATTGGCCGGCGCCGTCTCGGCTCGAAGGGCCGAGATGCATTTCCCGCGTGAATACCGAGAAAGAGGGAAAAGGTCGTCGACGTCGAGGAAACGCGTGCACGACGAGACTTTCGACACGCACGCACGTTGCCTCGCCCTCGATGTTGCCGGCCTCTCGACGCCGAGCCTGATAATAATACCCGCATGGTATTATTAATGAAATTATACTTTTATACAACGGAAACGCACCGCGTCCCTCCGACGATTTCGCGTGGTTTTTATTTTAAAATTAAAAAAAAAAAGAAACATAACTGGCAAAACAAAATTTCTTATTCTGCCTGCAAAAAATTTATCGCTATTTCAGGATAATAAAATTTCAATTCGTTCATCGCTATTTCAAGACAGCAAAACTGATTTTTCAAAATTGAAAAGATCATATTCCGAGAAAAAAAAAAAGACGAGTCTGTCCGGTTTGTCCGGAGTCGTGTATATTTATTTTATAAATATGAACGCCATGTATTATGTATTGCCAATATTCTGCATGCTATCACTATTCCATGATAAAAAGAAATTGATCTTTCGAAATTTTTTCACGAGGTTCTATTACTTTCGGAGCCATGCCTATCTATTTTATAGAAATATAGACGCAATATTATGTATTGCCAAATATTCTTCATTTGACTTATCACTGTTCCAAGATAAAATAAACTAACTCTCCAAAATCTAATTTTCCGAATTTGTTTCCGAGATTCCGTTTCTTTTTGGAGCCGTGCCTATTTATTTCATAGAAATATGAAATAACGCTATGCGTTATTACCTATTGCAAAATATTCTGCATCTAATGATGACACAGCATCTTCCTCGCCAGAAAGAGGAAAGATATATTTAAGTAGAACATACCGATGGTTACTTTGCATTATACGCAATATTGAAACATTGCGTCATAACTAACTGGAACCGGTTACAAAGTACATTTAAACCAATACATATCGTAAGGCTGTGTTGCAAATAATGATATTCTCTCTCGCAGTTTGGCGCGTAGCTACTCATTTTGTTATCATTTTGTTGCATCCTGATGTAATATGGATACCTGAAACCGGGCAGGTAAAACCTGTCTTGAAATGAAAATAAAAGGTGATGAACCTGTGAGATCGAAGATCGCAAAGTTCGAAGGCTCTTTCGTAGGGCTGCCTACTATCGATCTGCTCGCCTGAGACGCGCGGAGGATGCGTGATAAGATCGCGAAAAGATAAAAAGATAAAGAAAAAGAAGAGGCGCCGATCTCTCGGTGATCTTGCTAATTGTCCTCGACGCCACAATAATAATCGTTAATAAATGGAATTTTGTTGTTGGTAAATTGACGTGAACCAATTTCGTAGAGAAAGGAGTACGTGTCATTTCATTGCCCTCGCTTTTTCAAGGTCTCTCGATCGCATCGGGTGTGACGTGTCGCGTATGGCCGTTTGGCAGAGGGATCTCCCCAGACTGTTTCGTGACAACAAAATGTAGACAAAACAATGTTGCATTAATGATATCTTATAAATACCCGGGTTTCACTTTTTTTCTCGTGATTATTCAATCTCCGAACTTCCGAAGCGTTAAATGTGCGTAAAATCCAACGATGGAAAGTTTGCGTCCGCCAATCTAATTCTGATAAAAGCGATCTTTGCTCGTACATTTTATTTAATACACACACATTTATGGTTTTATATTGTTATGTAATTATGTTATTATATATGAAATATAGTGCAATATTGTACAGATTGCATTATTTAAGATTATATATATTAACTTAATTAGTTGCGTAAATAAGTCAAATTTAATATCGCAGCAAAAACATTATACGGATGATGCAAAAGGCATCCGAGTTTGCAACTTTCTCAATTTATATTATAAATTCATGTACTTGTAACTTATCAAAAATCTTGTTATAAAAACTTTCTGTGAACATATTTGCTCGATTAAAAAATATAATTCCTTACATCTGTTTATAAACTGATTAATTTGTTTATCTACCATATACACAGAAAACACGTACAAAATATCTTTCATGTCTGATACTACAATTGTATGTCAGTTGTTATCTGGCTGACTCATCTTCAATTTTAAAATGTACACATTTTTAGTAAACAGCAGCATATCATCATACTGAAAATTTTTATACACTTGCTTCCTTTTACTTAAAAAAAAAAAATATATATATTATCTTAGGAGAAAGATTTCTAAGATTTCTTAGACTTAGTTTTCTTTAGGAAAAATGCTTGGAATAATGCGCAATCTTTAAAAATTCTTAAATTCTCTTTTTAATAAATTCCAATTTTTTAAAAATTGGAATTTATTATTAAGCGATTACAAAATAAATTTCTAAGATAAAAAGCAATTTTTATTATAAATATTTCTATTCGCGTGGAATAAACGAATTTTGCTCTTTGTCGACATCCGACATCTGACCTTTGTTTGTGGTGAACTTTCCCCCACTTTGCTCTACTCTATTTCTGTAAGTAATTTTTCTCTTTTTCGACCCCGCATTTGTTCCGCGAGTCCGATCACTGCACAAATACAAAGCAGGAGACAGCAGCGATTTTTTTTTTTGCGCATCGCGTTTATTTCCTCGACTTGTATCTGCGCAAATCCGTTTATGCATAAGGATCGAATGTCGAATTAATCGCGATTCGTTATCACGTCGTGTTCAGCACGTGAGAGCAAATACATTCACAATATTCTCATTGGCGCTGAGAAAGCCGGGCATTATGTAAGCCTGAGCAAGGTCAATCTATTCTACTTTCGAAGAAGTTATAGATAAACAAGTCAATCCAATAAATTTATCGTAATTTATCGTCTCTCTAAATATGCAAAATTTATTATATTTATCTCGTCGTGTTCGTCACATGTTAGCAATGCAGTTCAAATTTTCGACGCAAAAAAGATCACAGATAATCTGTCTGCCATAATGCGCTGCCTTAAAAGTCGAGAATTGATATGTCCTTTCAATGATCAATCATTTCAAAAATCAAATGAAATCTCTGTACATTTTTGTATTTATAATAATATTAGCAATATTTATTTAATATTAATATATAATAATATTTATTTAATATTATTTATAATATTTTTGTATCTATAATAAACATAGATAAATTTTGAAACATTAAATTCAAGATTTAAAAGAATCTGTAAAGTTCCAATTTGTTTTCCCTTCTATAACAAGAGACGTGACTGAACTGAGCTGCGAATCACGCTTGCTCTACATGAACTCCATATAGCAGCTCCATTGACTCATTAACTTCCGTCACGAAATGATCACGTGTTTGGGAAATTCTCATCCACAACGCAGGCTTAGTGGAATCTCCTGTAAACCAGTAATGTAATTGGTGGACTTCCTTGCAATAAGCAATAATTTTTCCATTACTTGAAAATGTTAACTTCATCTTAATGTAATTTGAGTTTTATTTTCAACACATATTGTTATCTCTTCTGAGAAACGTCATTTGGTCAAATTTTTCGATTTTGTAGTGAGTACAATATTACATTAAAATAACGTTAAAATAATTAAAAATATTATTTATTAATAATATTACTTATTTTTTAAATTATTATTATTATCTCGGAGTATTATTATCTCGGTGTTGCCTCTGGAAACCGAACCGGATTAATATATGCAGTATTATTAATGAAATTATACTTTTATGTGACGGAAATAAAATGCGTTATTGACAGTTTTGAAAGTTTTATTTTATAACTAAAAAACAAAAAAAACAAACTTTTTATTCTGACGCAAAAAACTTATCGCTGCTTCAAGATAAAATAAAAACTGTTCTTCCGAAATTGTCCCACGAAATTCTATTACTTTTGGAACCATGCTTATTTTATAAAAATATGGATGCAATGTATTATGTATTGCCAAATATTTTGCATCTAACAGAATTCCTTTCGCCAGAAAGAAAAATAAATAATATTTTTTTGGAACAATTAAAAAAAAATATTTTCTCGAATCACAGCATATTTCAAATTATCTCGATTTACAATTTTGTTGTAGATGTGCTAATTATTGACATATAACTAATAAATAATAAATAATCTAAAAATACAAATAACTCGATTTCATCGGTCTGAGTCATTGCATTCGACCATTCATACAGACGAAGTTAGAAAAGTTGATTTTATTTTATAATTGAATTTGAATGACTTTTTCGAAATTATAAATTATTAAAGAATGTAAATTATCTAGAATGTTTTATTCAAAATTATGATCTTATTTTATCTTTTATAAAAACTAGGCTGGAACAATAATATATTTATAACAAAATAGACAAATTATATTAAAAATTTATCAGACAATAATTTAATCATAAATGTTAACTGATAATACACTGATAATATCTAAACAATATGAACAAGAAGTCTGTTGTTTATACTTAAACTTATACATTTATATAAATTTGAAATTCAGTTCTAATTTGAATTTATCTTTCTTCTTGATCTTTCGATTGATGATATTTAATTAATAGTGGCAGTCTGTAATCTCGATATGTGATGAAGAGAATAAATTAAAATAATCTTTAAAATTTATGCTTCGCTGACGTTTTCACGCCAATTCTCGCAAATTCTCGCTATCTTGACCGTCTTGTTAATTGAACACATTAATTAAACAGCGTTTATTTTGTCCAGAGACAGGCATTCAGAGGCAGATTAAGAAACTGTGAAGCAACTGTCTTTCAAAGTCCACCGCATAATTTTGCGTTCTGACACTATTTGCGGACAACATGCGCGCAACTTTTTGCCGCTGCGTATTATCTGCCAAAAGCCGCGCGAATTTTTACACAGTTTTATACAAGAGTATGGAGAAATTGCATCAGCACTCGATCATCGTGTTTCGAGCGTTCTTTGGAAGACTAGGCGAATATTTAACGTCCGAATATGCAACGTCCGCGATGAAATAAGATTCTCGTTACCTCACGATAATGCTGAATATAAGAATCGAATCGAAGTGACAGGATTGATAAGTTTACGGAAAGGCAGAATTATTTTCGTGCTAGCTAATTAATTAATTGAACCGATATTAATATCGTATAGGCTATTTTAAATGAAAAATGAAAGTAAAGCGACATATGATAAGAATCCGTAATAGGAGCAGATTGTAGGTAGTAACTCAGTGGAAACGCATATAAATATAAAGATATTTCAGTTGCTATAAATATTTTTAATTTTTACTTTTTGAAAGCAAAATCACAGCTACATACGATGTGGTTCCATAATCATTAATATAATAATAATAATAATATTAATAATAGGGCCCACACATCCGCCTTGCAGATTGAAAAGCTACAAAGTGGATCTGATAGGTAAAACTTCAAATAATAAAAATAATAATAATAATAATAATAGAGAATAATACATAAAATAATGGCCGCATGTTCGCCGTGTAAATTCGAAGGCTACAAGGCGAGCGTGGCGGACAAAATTAAACAGTAATAATAATAATAATAATAATCTAATAATAGATAAAATTATATAATAGTTTCTTCTCTTTTAGATCCATACAGTAGGTATTTTAGCACTAACGACCATGCGATAGAATCTCTCTAGCTTTTTTTTTATCGAATAATAATACACTCTACTGGTATACTCCTTCGCTCCGTCTTACCTCCGTTTTTCGAATAATAACCTCGTTACTACATATGTATATCTCGTATATTATATAATAATATATATAATAATTTTTATAAATTTTATATATATTATATATATAATAAAGGTCCTCCGTACTTATAAGGCAACCGTCATACATCGTTGTTAGCAATCTTATCTCTTTCTTCCTGTCACTCGACACATTTAATTCGGAATTCACCACTCGTTACAGTTACAGTTAAAGTAGGCGAATTATTCATTCTCATTCGAACATATTCCCAATAGTTTTCCTACTCGTTCTCTCTTTCTCTCTCCTTTTTTCTCACGCATCCCCGTCGGCTTTAAATACTAAATAAATATTATACAGATTTGTCTATCGACCACATGCTGAATCTTCCCCATAGTCCCGCGCAAGTGTCTCTCGACTTAACATAGTAAAAACAGTACTTCGACTTTTACAGCGTGGTTTTATGGCACTTGTTTAATGGCTGGACTCTAGCCTCTCCACGTTTCCCGATGCGAACGATATCTTCGGCTCTGAGAACGACCGTCTTTTTTTATCTTCTTCTTCTTTTTTTTTTTCCTTTTGCTTCTATGGCTTGGAATCCGCTTTAATATCGCCGATACGACATACGATACCGCGAGAGATCGACGAACTTCCTTCGTAACTTTTAATTAAATTGTCGCGTAAAGACGACGCACCGTCGACGTGGACAGGATCGATGACTATCGACTCGCTATGGAATGCTACTATTGTAATATTTCAGGAATACTATTGAAACATTGAGATCCTCGGTTTCACCTCCGAGGGGCTTAACCTGATCAGGTTGTAATCATTCCTCCTAAAGTTACTGTGCAATCAACTCGCTTGGCTATTTATGTGTTTACAGTATGAAAAAAAGATAAAGTGAAAAATTGTAAGGATTAAATGTAACATTTTAAATACAAAACCTTTTTACTTGTTCATAAATTTGTTATTTATATCGTCGTTTTCTTCAAAATTTCAATACAATCTTTTAATGGCTATGAGTTATATAACGGATAAAACATGTCTAATTAAAATAAACAATTTTGTCATTTTGTTTCTCAAAATATTCATTCTGATACACAGCGTCATATATAATTATTTATCTCAGTTATTGCTATTACATAATGAATATTCCTCCGCAAAAACTCCGGACATATTTTCGACGACAAAGTACGTCTTTTCGTTACATTTATTTTTGATACGTGACATTTTTATTAGATTTAGCTTTTAAGAAATTATTTGTTATTTTTATCGGATTTGAACTCTGACAATGTATTTGTTGTGGAAACGGTATCTTTTTACGATTTCGATTTTTTTTAATTCGGCCAATCAAAGTTCAATCTACGACATAAATTAAGATCACGAATTGCTATCATCATTTAAAACAAAAAAAAAAGAAAAATAACAGAGACGATATCTTATTATTGAGAGCAGATACATTCAGGTTCATCACATTGTAAAATTTCTTCATGACAGATAAGTTGTTTTGCTACTGACGCAACATTGTAAAATTTTTTTACTTTTTGCCGAAAATATTAATTATACTATTCTTAAACAGGCGCTACGTTAACGTTATTATTGGGTACATTTCTAAAAGTCTTTTACAAAAATGTTCATATATCACTCTCTAAAATCGAATTTTGCATGTGAAAAATTAAGAAAGTTCTCGGCGATTTATACGTTGTATAAATAAAATAATTTTTTTTCCAAACAAATTGATATTTCATAAAAAATGTAAAAACGTTAGAAAATGGCCATTTAAATATCAGCGACTACACTGCGGTGTTTTCCTCTAGTTTGATACATCTTTAAGGCACTAATTTGTTCCAGTTACTATTAAAAATCTACGATCGTTTTTCGGTCAGTTGGATAAAAGATAATTCAGAAAAGAATACAATTCAGAGACCACAGGCTCATCGATGATCAATGATCCTATTAGAAGATTGTTATCTTTAGTAAAATAAAAATTCAATCTTCGATTGATCCACCTATCTGAAGGTGATTAATTACAACTGTGATATTTTAGTCCGAAATTCGATCATAGCTACAGGTAAGATGTAGATCTTCTAACAGTGTAATCTGATCGCCGGTTCGGACCTGCTGCTACACCGAACAAATAACGTATCCGTTGTACATTAAACTGCTAAGGCACGGTCCTACACAAGTTTTCGGAAAAGATCCTAAAGGCACCCTAGCGCATTTCTCGCTGAGCAGTCGCGTAATATTTTCTGCATTCTACGTTTAATTATTCGCCGAGAAAATATGCGTAAGTCTCTGTTGGCCTCCGCGCAGGAATTAAACTTTCATTAAACTTTCCGGATATACCTTTCTTGTCATTCACCCGGCATTATTATTAGTCTGCGTGCAAACCGTATCTCGTCTTGAAGATAAAGTGCCGAACCCTCTAAACGTTAAAAAAAAAAAAAAATACTTTATTTTTTTCTCGATCGCATCTAAAAGTGAGGAAGAGCGAAGATGTTCTTGATCCGATATAGGCGAGATTAGCGCGCGAGGGAATAATACTTATCGAATGAAAATGGAATCGTTGAGCGTGCTTTAGGAATAGAAGAAGCGAGAAACCTGTTCCTCCCATGAACGATTCATATCAATCACAATACATATACACTATACATACATATATTAAACAGCTTTGCTTTATGTCGGTCAGCGACCACTCTTTTTAGAATATATTTTCCTAGAATATATTTTTTCTTTCCTCTCTTTTCTCTTTCGCACATATATAATTTCCGTCGCTTCAAATTTTTAATCTTTTCGTTCTCTAACTTGATCGTTCAACGACCATCACGCTGCTCTATTTCGTTCTTCATTTCTGCGCCTCGGCTCGCAGTCTTTCTAATTAACTCTCAATTTTCCAATACTGCTTGTTTTCACTTCAAAATTTATCGCGTACCCTCCAAGGTATATAATCCAATTCGAAATATGCGTTATTTCCTTTCAATTTCACATATTGTGTGTTGCACTCATCGTTGCAACATATCGTCGTTGTTGCACAATTAACTCCCAATTATGCCGATCAATTAAATAAATAATTTGTTACTAATGGAAAAATCTGTATAGAGGAATTTGTTCTGGAAATTTTTACAACAAATATAAAAAGACGAGATTAAAAAGATAAGAGTACTCAACATTGTAACTAGTAATGAATCTTCTGATTATCAGTTGTGCAATTAACATGCTAATATCGCTGATATAATGCAATAATGCATTTTTCAACTTTGCCTGCGTCTAGACGATAGGAAAATATCTTTCCCTCACTTCTCCAGTACCAAAGCGAAAGATGCGATCGTTGCATTAATCCCCGCTGTTTTGCAATACATGAAAGATATTAATCGCGTCGCCGACTTGTTGTTTCACATTACCGTTTCTCTTCATTCTCTACAACATATTAAACTAATCTACGATCTAAAACGTCGTAAGGACTATTCACGCAGAGGGTACACAGGATGATACTAACAAAGGGGAAAATGTACAAGGTGTTCTTTTCTCTCCTATTAAATATTATAGTTTGTCTTTTTTTCATGCTAAAGCTACGTTATAGACTTGTCTTTATATTATTGTCTTAGTGCTACGCCAGATTCTTGTATCTCTCGTTCTCGTTTCCCGGTTCCCAAGATTCATGGTCCGGAAGAATTACATTTTCTGAGATTCGCGACTACCGTAAACCTCGTAATTCTCATTCCGTATCAATATTCCGTCTTGTTCACACCTGGAAGCGTTTCTAGAGTCTGCAAGGACTGTTTGACGATCGTTGCGATTCTTCGTCATCGATTTGTCTTTCATCGCTCAGACTCTAGGTACGAAGAGACCGAACTGCCTCGACATAGCCACAGATACCGGATGTATCTCTTCGATTCGAAGGTCTCAACCTAATAATATTCGTTCTGAAGATAAACGTTACTGACTAGCCCCCTACAGGTTGCCATTGATCATCCATACTATCCAGGAACGTTGCTCGATCGTTGAACGATCGAGACACTCGAGTGATCCTTCTGGGGAATGTCTATAGGGACTAAGAATTTGTCTTTTAGTGGGCTTCTCTTTTGGAATTTCGGCGGACGATCACTTCGACTCTTCTCTTACGCGGGACAAGTATCGACGGTGGGCATCGAGTTGCGACGAAATCGTTGACTAGTCCCTACCGGTTCCACTCGATTTTTCACCTAGTCGGGAGGGAGGGGGAGGGGGGGAAAGATGGCCGTACCATTCTCTAGGGAATGTCTACTAGGACCAAGGACAATGCTTTATTCGGCCGTCCTGCCACGTACAGAACTTTTATGGGAGATCGTTAAGTGTCCATGTGTCGATACTTATGCGCCGACATTTGCGCCAGACCCAACACCGCGTACTGACACTGCAGGCAGTGATAATGCGTCTGCTTGCCAGAATGTTGACACTGCACAGCTCCGCACGGTTGACTGGGCGTAAATTTCTGGAAACCCGCCGCCGCGATGCTGTCCAACTTGGCGTGCTGCCGCCGATGAGCCACTACCTTGTTCGTGTCCGTGCAGACGAAGTCGCACTTCAAACAGTGAAAGTGCGATGCCTTGTTCTGCATCGATCCGAGGGACGATGTGTAGGCGCATTGAGCTCTGCCACACGGCACGTTGGCGCGATACTGTTGGAAATCACCCCCCATCAAGGTATCCAGCCGCTCATGCCTCGCGGTATGCTGAACGAAACGAGTTTTGTCGCAGAACGAGTAACCACAGTCTTGACGCATGCAGTGGAAGTGAGTTTGATGTTCTCTGTAGCCGCAATGAGGATACCTGCAGTCCTCATTGAACCTGAATCTGCAACAGCAAGTAAAGTAAAATTGAAGTTCGAGCCGTCGTACGTTTACGAAACGGCTGTACCAACCTGACATATCCCTCCGGTACAGGTTCGTCCTTCAGCATACGCATTGAATGATGAAGTCTCTGCTTCTTGGCTTCTGGCGAATTAGCATCCGGCGGAGAGAGAGATCTTTTGTTCAAATTAAGATTAGCTGCCAGCGAGGCTAGGGGATTCTCGTCTCTCGCGGGTGGAAGAAAATTGGTCGGCGGTAAGCCGGGCGCGAACATCAACCCGGGTCCACCGGCGTACATTCCACCGTGCTGAAGAAACGGCGGTAGGGCCTGATTCATCAGAGCAATCTGTTGATTCATCGCGGCCATCACGGCGGGACTTGGAAAGTGAAAGCCATGGCTAAGATCGAGCTCGAAGCTCGTCGGTATCGAAGGTTGTTGTACATTGCTAGGCTGAAGTGGCGGTTGCGTTAATTGACCGTTTTCATGATTATCTATCACGGTATTATTGCCTTCGTCCCTACACGCCACATCCGATGGTTCCCGCTTAACGTTCGGCACATTTTGCACACCGATGTCGATGCTGCATCTAGGTTTTTCTAATTTAATGTCTTTCGGCTGAGACTGCTGGCCGAGGGTCTGTTGCATCTGCCGCTGCATTTGGTTCTGAAAGTTCTGAATGTTTTGAGCCATCTGGGCGTTCGGCGACATGAAGTCGTGCTTTTGCGACAGCTGCGCGATGTAATCGTGCTGCAGTTGATTGGGCGATGGGCTGACTATGTCATGTTGTTGCTGGCTGAGAATAGCGCCAGTTGAATGTTTCGCTATATGCGCGACCAGGCGATCCAATTCGGAAAAGGCTTGATTACATGCGTTGCAATGATAATGGTTCTTGCGTTTCAGCTTGCAGAATGGCCTGCTGCAGCTTTGTTCCGGTCCGTATAAAGTGTGCGGCGAGGTAGTGCTCATAGACGGCATCATCGGCGATTCTGCAATGCCAAAGGTTTCTTTTTTAATTCGAATCGTACGTCCACGAGCGCAAAAGACGTAGGAGAGAAACTAATTTACTGATACAAGAACACTCTTAAAAGCACAAAACTTGGTTTCGAAAAGAGATAGACGAACCTTGGTGCACGGAAGTTCGCATGGATAGCACGACGCCCGGAAGTGCGGGTTCGCTCGGCGGTCCGCTGACCGGATAATAGGTGCCAGCCGCCCTCACCACTAGCAACAATCAACCAAACAACCAACACTTCAAATATACCGCCCGCTATGAATACAACCACCATGTACATAGTATATACATCGAGAAAATAAAAATGATAAAACAAAACAGTCTCATGAGACGGAACAAACAACGGGAGAATAGCGAAAAGTATTCTACTTCAATGACAAACGTAAAGTGTGATGACGTGTAAACTGATGCGCGACTACGTGCAGAAGAGCATGCATTGTACTTCAAATGGAAAGGGAAAAAAAATATTTCATGTGTTCTTCAAAAAAAAAAAAAGATCACTGCCAAAACGAAACTTGCCCAAGTCGACATTAGTGTGTACTGATTCGTGCCCTCTTTTCTCATACTTACCGGTAGTCTTGCCACTGTCGGGACTCGCGAGCTCGGGTTCCTTGTCTTCGATTATCGATCTTTCCTGATCAGGCGCTATCAGATTTTCATCGGGTTTCTCGATCAGTTCGGCGGGATTTTTCACCTGGATCCTAGGTTTCGTTTCCTGGATCAAGGATTGAGGTTGCGTTTGACATTCCTGATTATTCGACTCCTGACCACAGGACTCAACGTGACCGGAAGCGTGCTGTTTCTCGTGTAACGCCATTGTCGAGTATCTAACGAATGAATATCCGCAGTTCGGTCTGGTACAATGGAAATGTCGATTAATGCGATTGCTGTGACATCCAGCCAGTCGACAGTCGACCATCTTGTCGTAGAAGGCGAAGCCCGGCGGTATGTCGACGTTATCGTGGAAATCCTTACTGTGCATGAGCAATTGGTCTGGCCGATCGGTGGAGAAATGGCATCGCAGTTGCGAGCAATGATGATGCCTGGTTGATCTAAGCACGCAGGCCGTGTCCGGACATCCGTCCGAGTTGTACGTGGCGAATCCCTCGGGTTCGCCCATACTGTTCGAGGGTGATACGCTACCCTCTCGATCTTCCGATAACATATTCGACATTAAATTAGACGTCTGCGGTTTGGGAAGCTTGAAACTCGTAAAGATCGCCTGCGGCGAATCGTGGGTGTGTGTCGCGGGGTCGCCACCTGACCAGATTTCTATCACGCGATTTTTAGGCGGTCTACCGCGCTTCCGCCTGAACATCGCGTCGATATTCGTCAGATGGGTCAAGGTGACGTCGGGGGAGAGGGCGTGCGAGGAGCAAGAGAGGTTCAATTGTCGGCTGTACTCGTGTATCTTGTAATGCTGCAATCTGCGAAACGGTTTGTCGGTGGAGAGTATCACCTCTCGGCAGTTCTCCCAATTGCAATGATAATGCTTCTCCTTATCCGCGTACGGGCAACTGTCGTCGCAGCCGCCCTCCTCGAAGAAGGCGTCCGTTATGCGTTCCTGAGTTTCGTGTTCCTTCAGATGTTCTCTGACCTCACGGGGATCCTTCAGGGACGCTCCGCAGCGGTCTAATCCGCAGTGATGGTGCTCTCTGCCCGCGTTACAAGCGCACTCCGAAGTGGCTGGCACCAGATATGCCAATTCAGCGGAGGTGAGAGACTGCTGATGTTGCGGCTGATCGAGATTAACGGAACTTCCGCTCGCCATAGTCGTGGTCGGAGCGGTAAGATCCATAGCGAGGTCGCTCGCGCTTTGGAAAGAGTCCTCCAGAGAATAATACGACGGGGAACCTCTACCCTCGTTAGAGCTCTCGCCATTCAGACTTAGGGATAAGCTTTGAGCGCTCAATTCGTCCGGCGCCCATGATCCGGGTGGACGAATACCGCCCACGGCGCTGACTTGTTTGTACTTTCGATAAGCCAATTCTGACTCGTGGCGCTCGTGTTTCCGCTTGTGCGAAAAGAGCTGACCAGAAGAATGTAAGACGTAGCTGCAGTGCGGTCGTATACAGTGAATGTGATTGCAGACCCGAGAGAAGCGGCACTGATCGAAGGGACAGGCCTCCGACTTCATGAACTTCTTGAAACCATCGCGCGACAGTTGTTCATCCTTGATGTGATAAGATTTGTGCTTGTCTAAAAAGAAAGAACAAAAATAGCTTAGTAGATCAAACCATGGAGGCCTCAAAACACAAGTGGTAAGATACGTTAAAGTTACTCGGTTCTCTCGCAAACAATTAGCTCTAGTGATCTGATGATTTCCGACAGCTAAGCACAATGTACCATTATTTCAAAAATTATTTTACACTTTTACGTGATTTATTGGATAGATATTTTACTTTCTAGTAGGTTTTTACAAATTTTAAGAATATGAAAATATCATGTTTTTAAGGGAAAAGTAAAGCTATACGACGCAAGAAACTTTTTACATTTCATTTCTCGCCTCTGACGTCAGTAATTCAATGAGAAGCTGAAGCCTTTAGTAAAAATTTATCGATAAAATTTTTTCTCGCGTAAAAATTAAATTTGAAGTATTTAACATGCTAAGTTTTTAGCGAAAGGACGATAGTCTGGAGCGCGGGCGAGCATTAACGCGCAGAACATTCCTTACCCATATCGGCCTTATTCTTGAACGTGAACCGACATCCGGCGCGACGACAGTGAAAGTGCGTGGTCCGTTGTCCAACGAACGGACAATGGTCAGTCGCGCAACTCTCGGTGGCCCGAAATCGCTGGAAACCCTCTTGTATGATGGCGGAGTCCTTGCGATGGTAATTCGCGTGCATCTGCACGTCCGATGTCGATATGTACACTTTGTCGCAATTTTCGTGGATGCAATGATAGTGGGTCTGCTTTCTATTGTGCGGGCAGGCCCGACCGGGGTGCTTTTCCGAGCAATCGTCCGTCGGCGAGTACCTCATAAAGCCGTGCTGCAAGGACTCGTCCCTCTTCTTGTGCCATTTGAAGTGCCTGATCATTTCCTCCTTCTTCACAAATACCCTCCCGCTACAATCCAGACAATGGAAGTGCTCCCTGCAGCCCAATTCCTTGCAATACGTGCTGCCGCATTCTTGACTGGACGTATATCTCCTTACGTATCGGGAATAATCGATGATCGGCTGGGACACCGACGTCTTGGAACCGCTCATCAAAGAATCCGCTATCGGAGACATACTCTGCCTGAGCAACGCTATGACAAACGAGGAAGAACGTTATTTATTAAATCGAATCGGTTATTGCAGCGTTACAAAAAAAAAAAAAAAAAAAAAAGAATGTTCCTTCATTAAAGATAAAAAAAATTGTTAAATCAAAATAAAAAACAAAATTAAAAAAAAAAAAATCAAAACAGCAATTATCTATTTCTATTCTGACGAAAATATTTTGTGCTGAAATTCTTTTTCAATTGACCTCATTTCATGATTATTTCAAAATTTTTTAACAATATTAAATTTCAAAAACTTTTTAACCGTATACATTATCTTTCCTTATATTCCACAATATTACGTTAAATTTTATAGGGACAAGATTAAGATTCATTTAGAAATAATTTAGTAACTTTCAACAACTTTTATTTCAGTTTTCATCAAATTGTATAGTATATTATCATCTGTCTATCTGTCCGTTTATAAAATTCAATATATAATACTAAGAAATATAAGTTAAAAATGTTATTGAAATTGTTTGAATTTATTTTACATCATAAAATTGATTGAAAAAACTATGTGTATTAATGGAATAACAATGAAGTCGAATGAGAAGGAATAAAATATTATCTCAATAAAATATTATTTTAGCAGAGTATTTAATCTAAAAAACGAATGTTACGTTGACATAACTTTGATGTAAAGCAAAAATACATGAAATATTTGCCCGAAAGATAGATCTAAAAATTACATCAAATATCAGATTTAAAAAGTAAAAGATTATATAAATGGATTTTATAAATCCACTTATCGATATACAGTACTGGACATACGGCATAAAATTTCTTTAATCTTTCGTTTTGACGTCTACTAGTTAGAAAGAAGTAAATATATATGGGTGTGGATCTCTCTTTCTACTACTCTTGGTAAATTGGTTGAATTTTATCTAACGAAAGAAGAAACAATGTATTGTATTTGAACGTATTGTCGTGTAAACCGCCTAGTAGAAATCTACGGTGGGAATTTCCGTCTTCGTCGCGACTTCTCGTGCGAGCCAGACGGGCCGTTCCGTCGATACCAGCTGGCGCGTTGGTACATATCCCTCCACAGGCAACTGTCTCGTTTTATCGACCGCGTAGGTTTCCGCGGGTGATCCGCCGGTCTCCGCCATTCTAGACAATACGGTTCGCGCTCACGTCGCCAGAGGAGACGCACATACCGGAACCTGACTTCTGATACACATACCGCGAGTTATGAGCGCAGCCGTTCGTCGACCTATGGCACTCTCCCGAATGGCACGACCGAAAACTGGTTGGTCCGATGTTGGCGCGCACGGGCACGCTGCGAAATACGAGAGAGAGAGAGAGAGAGAGAGAGAGAGAGGGAGGGGAGGGAAGGGGAAGGGAGAAAAGAGAAGAACGGAGAGGAAGAAAGTAAGGCGTAAAAAAGAAAAAAAAAAAAAAAAAACTAAAAAAAAATAACAAGGCCGATCGCAATACGACGTACTAGCAAAAGACGCGGCCTGGCCGCGGGCGAGACGGAGGCGCGTAAGACATTACGTCAACGGGCGCGTTCATAGGCGTCTCCTAAAAGGACTCGAAACGGACCGGCTGCACGCAAGAAATAATATTGAGCGCGAGACGCAATTCGGTTGACCAATCCTCGCTCGCCGGATAAATTATTATCCCGGACGGTAATGCGCACAACACGAGAGAGAGAGATGGAAATAAACCGCGCGCACACACCACGTTCCTTCTCTCCCTCCCCCTCCGCCCTTTTCTTCCCCTTTTTTTGCCTAAACGAATAATTCTATAGTTAAGGCACTCTCGGTTTAAAGCGGTCGCATTTGCATTTCTTGCCGAGATGTGTTTAAATTTTATTATTCGCCGGCACGTCTCGAATGAGCGCCAAACCTTTCTCTCTCGCGAGCGCATCGTGCCCTTTTCCCAGGCATTAAATCGATATATTAAGCACCGAAGAAATCTATCAAATCTATGAAATCGGGCAGATTCGAATGACCTGTAAAAAAAAAAAAAAAATACCGATATATAATGATCAGGCCATATCGAGACATCGCGATTATTTTTTATTAATTTATCGGATATGCAGAGCCGATCGCGGTGACAAATGACGTGTCACCCTGAACCCGAGTGTCTCCCGTTCTCGAGTGTTCTAATCCCGCAGCATCTATCACATCCGCCATCCATGCGCGTTTGGTGCACCCTACCAGGTCGATTCTCAGAAATTCCTACTTGCTCTGACTGCGGGGCTGTGCGCGCGTTTGAATGCCCGCGCGCGCGCGCGCGTGTTCAGGAACGAGTTTAAAAATTGTCGAATATTTCTCGTGGCTCGCGGGGACTCCCCTCCCTTCCCACCCCGCACTTCCTCCTGCCGTCACAAGCGGAGGGAACGCGCATACATTGGCCGCTCGTGCGTTTCTGCGAGAGCGCATATACGCGCCTCGGCTACAAAAGGAGAAAGAAAGGTTTGGCAGAAAGGGAGAAAGAGAAAGCGAAGAAAGAGGGACGAATGTTGCGAGAGAGGAAAAGAGTGTGGCGAGAGGGGGGAGAATCCGGCGCGCATTATTCTCCCGCGTTATAACGGAGAAATGTAGACTTATATCTCCGCGGACAGAGGCAGCCGCAGCGGATCCTTTACCTTGCATTTTTTTTTTCATCTCTCTTACACCGAGGGGCCCCGAAAGTCGTTCTCACGTGGGCGATCGCTCGCTCGGATCACTCGCTTCGGAAAAATCGAGTAAATAAAATCCGGGGCGATTTAATAATAAAGCGCCATCGGTGCCACCGGATATGCTTTCGCGTTACGCGTCGTTGCGTAACATTCGGTTACGGTGATTAGCTTATCCTCTGGCTCTCGGTAATTACGCAATGCAGCTGCGTATTCCCGATCGTCGCGGATCTCGCGCAGCCGCCACTCATTAAAGGCACCTTTGGCTTTTCACGCCGCGAAAGAAACTATTGTTTGCACAAATTTATAATCCGCGTTGGCCGCCACGTCGACGCGTTGCACGTTGTTTGTCGGATCGAAGCTTCAAGTACGTAATCGAGAAGTGCTCCTCCTCCGGGCCAAGGCCTATGTACATTCGACGTGTCATCGTAATCGAAAATAAATATTAAACAGCCGGAGCTCGTCCCCGCGGAACAACGCCGTGCCACGCGGCTTTGGCGAATTCCTTCTCCGTATCCAAGAATGTCAAACATTTCGACGCCTAATTATGCAAACCGGGAAGCGTGCCAAAATCGTGATGGCACGTAAGTGAAACGCACTTTGCGGCCTTGAAACACCTCGAACGGAAAAAAAGACTGGTCGATTTGCAGCTTCGATTGCAGAACAAATGATGTCACTCAAAGTGAAACACTTGACATTATTAGAGAAGAGAGAAACGTCATCGTTCCATCGAATTACTACTTGCTTTCATTAACATCCAATTAATTTTTGCTTGATAAAACAAACTAGATTTAATTAATCCTAATTACGCGATTAAAGTTCGAATGGCGCTTCGAGACGACAGCGCTGTGAATTACGGTACGGAGCGGTTCAGAGAATTTCTAGAGAATTAGAAAATCAGATTTTGATTGTGAAAGCCCACTTGATTATCGCGTTGCAAAAAAAAAAATGACGATCTGACCGATCCTCTTTCACAAAGGGAGGGGAATACCACCCACGCGGGGGCCCCAAACGTAGTGGCACCAAACGCGGTGGCACCAAACGGGAGAATATGCGCGACGTGACGGGGCTTAAAGAGCAAATCTTAAAAAATATGTGAAACCCCCGGGACGACACGTAAGTCGGGGGCTCCCTTCCCCCGGACGTGGCTTTGAGCTCGAACCCTTTTATACCAGTAGTTCTTAAAGCTGCTCTCAGAAAGTGGGGAGTCGGGAGCCCCCGATGCCGAGCCGCGGAGAGACGGAAGCGGGAGACGAGACCGAGTGCGCGGAGAGAGGCGCGGCGGGGAGGGAGTTTAAAATTTTCAAAAAGGCCCGAACCTGAAAAGACCCCGTATTTCAGGGACGCCGGGGGCTTTCCTTTTTTTATCATTTAATCCGTGGACCGAGCGAATAACCCTTTATACGAGTCGTCGTCGAGGTACCATGCCGCTGCCTTCGTCGCGCGCTCACGTGTATCATTCCCTCTCTCTTTCTCTCTCCTCCTCTGTGTGATCTACACACGTGTGCTCGCACGTACGTTTACACGCGTGTACGGAGGGGTTAACGCAACCACCACGAAAGTGCGTGTTTGGATAATGCGTGGAGTGCCCGCTGCGCTCGCCGATTCGTCGTCTTAGCTTACGGCGACCCCCATTGAACGCTTTTTCTTCTCGAGAGGCTCTAAATACTGGTGAAAAAAGAAATACGTGAACCGGCACGAGGTACGGGCCTGCTCCCTCTCGTCTCTCTCTTTCCTCTGCTCCCTCTCTTTCCTCCCCCTCCCTCCCCCCGGTTAGATCCCGTAACCCTTCCTCGATGGTCCTCGTGGCGACATTGTTTCCGGAAAAATGGCTTCGCGAATGGTACCGCCGGCCAGATGTGATTTAATAACTCGGAATCAACTCGTTGGAGCACTCAATATCGATTCGCAGCACTTCCACCGTATGGCAAGCGCGAACAAAGGCTAATTTTCTTATCTTTATTTTGTTTCCAACGCGCGCGCGCGCGCGCGCGCGCCGCTTTGAACGAAATAATGAAATATACGTTTGACGAAATTACGATCGACAGGCACGTTCGAGACAGTTTTGCATTTGAATTCGTAATATCTTTACCGTATCTTTAATGTACATCGGAAACACGTCAAGATAATTAATTCAGTAATAGATAATAGAACTGAACGCGTCAATATGGATCGTTTGTATTAATAAAAGTCGCCCGACGACTATCGTGACTGATGGATTTCCAACGATTTCTATCCGAATGCAAGCCGAGAGTACGTCGGCGCCAGCATCAGCTGGGGACTCGTACAAAGGGAGAATACACACGAAGTGAAAGAGTGGGCGATAAGGGCGAGGGGAGGAGGGGCGGGAGCGGAGGAGGGGGGGGGGCGAAGCGGAGAGGCAGAGAAAGTGAGCGAAAAGGGAGAGAAAGGGAGAGAGCG